GAGGGGGTCAGGGTGTAGCAGCCCCGAGCAGGGCGCGGGCGCGGGCGCCGGGCGCGCCATCAGCCCGGGCGCCGGATCGCGACGATCAGGACGGGGGTCTGGCGCGCGCGGGGGCTGCGGCGGACCGAGGCGGGAGGGCGGGCGGGCGAGCAGGCGGGCAGACGGACGGGCGACCAGGCTGGCGGGCGGGCGGGCGGGCGGGCGGGCGGGCGTCGTCGTTGATCGAGGAGGCTCGGGCGCCGGTCGGGGAGATCCCTCGAATCCTGCTCGCGCCCTTCGGGGCGCGGTGTTGGTCCAAGGAACTCGATCTGCTGCACAGTGCGGGCGCGGCCGCGAGAGGGCCTCGGGAGAAGCCTGGCCCTGAGACCAGCTCGCGAGAGATGGAGACAGGTAGGCGGCGAGGAGGAGGAGGAGGAGGAGGAGGAGGAGGAGCGGAGGCGGAGGCGGAGGCGGAGGAGGAGGAGGCGGAGAAGGAGGAGGAAGAGGAGGAGGAAGAGGAGGATGGGCAGGAGGAGGATGGGGAGGAGGAGGAGGAGGAGGAGGAGGAGGAGGAGGAGGAGGAAAAGGGGGAGCGAGACAGCCGCCACGTCGCCGTCGGCACCAGCGTCGTCGCTTTCCCCTCCGTCCTGCGCGGCCGTCGTCATCACCTGCGCCGCCGGCCTGCTCGGGCGGGCGTCGTCGCCGCCCCCCGCCCCACCCTGGCTGGCTCAAGGGCCCCCGCCCCCCTGGAGGCGGGGCGGGTCGAGACACTCGGGGGGAGCCCAGCGCGCCCTGAGCGCAGCCGCTCCTGCAGCCGCCACGGGAAGCAGCGTGCGCAGCGCGCACACCCAAGGCACCCAGACGAAAAGCATTGTGTTTCTTGATGCGCGCCCCCTCGGTAACCCGGGTCTTCCCCTTCGGGAAACGGGCGCCCCCTCCCCATACAGTCGTGGCACCGCCAGAAAGAACGCCAAATAAGCAATGAAGGGGCTTACCTGGCCACGGCGAGCCTCGGCCGCGATTTGGTTCCCCGACCCAAACCCAAGGACCGGCCCGAAAACCAGAGCCACTCCTGAGCCGAGCATGGTCCTTATGTCAGCGCCTTGACTGTACCCCCCCCCCCCCCCGCGAGGTGTCCGAGGGTTCGCCCACGATATCCCAAGATGATTGAAGATAGCCGCCAAGATGCCTCGAAAAGCCCTCAAGATCGCCAGAGGACGGCCCCAAGTGCCCTCCGAGCCTCCAACGGAGCCCTCCAAGAGGCTAAAATCATCCCAAACCGAAATGTTTTGCAATGTGATTTGCCATCTCGCCTCTTCGCTTCCGATGGGCTCTTGAAGTCTCGAGATGGCTCCGAAGATGGCCCATGAGGGCCCCAAGACGGGTCCGCGATGGCCCCAACACGGCCCAGAGGGCGCCCAAGAGCGCCTCCAAAGGCCAACTTTCGGGCTCAGACGGGTGGGCCGTGGCCAAAGAGGCCTGCAAGACGCTGCCAGAGCGACGCGCGCACAGCAAGCCGCAACGCGCAACCACTCTACCAAGGCGGCCCTGGGCACGCACGACGTAACAGAGGCACTGCAGGCGACGACAAGCAACCACTCAACCAGGACAGACACGAGGAGCCGCGAAGCGCACGCAACGGCGCGGACGCGGCTCTCTGCCGGGCCGCATGCTGCTACTCACTCCTCTCCTCTACCTCGTGGCCCACTGCCCCTCCTCTCCTCTCCTCTCCTCTCCTCATCTCCTCTCCTCCTCTCCCCCTCCCACCTCCCTCCCCTTCTCTCTTCTTTCCTCGCTCCTCCCCCCTCCCCCCCAAAATGGTAGCATCCCTGTTCATGGTAACTCGCCGGGTGCCTGCTTTTAGATGGGCAGGTGGGGATACTTGGTGGCGCGCAGAAAGGGTGTATGGGGGAGGGAGACGGCGTCTTGGAAGGAAGCCGCTTCTTAAGGGCTGGCCTCACATTTGTACATAGGTCAGTCCCTCGCCTTCTAAGACGCAGGGGTGCATCTAAGAAACCTTCCCCCTACCCCCTTTGCGCGTGGCCGAGATACTTTTTTTGGTCGGCGGCTCCGAGGCAGCGGACAGGGAGCGGTAGGCGTGGCCGAGATACGCGCTGCGTCAAGAAATCCTGCGTGCCGTGTGCCCCCTCTTTCCGTCCACACTCCCCTCTGCCTGGCAACGCTCCTGCTCCTGATCCTGCTGCTCCTATTCCAGCTCCAGCTCCTATTCCAGCTCCAGCTCCAGTTCCAGCTCCTCCTCCAGCTCCTGCTCCTGCTCCTGCTCCTGCTCCTCCTCCTGCTCCTGCTCCTGCTCCTGCTTATCCTCCTCCTCCTCTTCCTCCTAATCTTTCTCCTGCTCCTCCTCCTCCTCCTCCTCCTCCTCCTCCTCCTCCTCCTCCTCCTCCTCCTCCTCCTCCTCCTCCCCCTCCTGCCTCCTCCTTCTCCATGTTTTATATTCGCCAAATTTCGAATGTCGTGTCTATAGCGTACGTTTTCCTCCGCCTCCTCCTCTTCCTCCTCCTCCTCCTCCTCCTCCTCCTCCTCCTCCTCCTCGTCATCAGCATCAGCATCAGCATCAGCATCAGCATCAGCATCAGCATCAGCATCATCATCATCAGCATCAGCATCATCATCATCATCATCATCATCATCATCATCATCACATCATCATCATCATCATCATCATCATCATCATCATCATCATCATCATCATCATCATCATCATCATCAGCATCAGCATCATCATCATCAGCATCATCATCAGCATCATCATCATCATCATCATCATCATCATCTCATCATCATCATCATCATCATCAGCATCATCATCATCATCATCAGCATCATCATCATCATCATCATCATCATCATCAGCATCAGCATCATCATCATCATCAGCATCATCATCATCATCATCATCAGCATCAGCATCAGCATCATCATCATCATCATCATAATGATCATCACCATCATCAGTATCATCAGTATCATCATCATCATCATCATCATCAGCATCATCATCATCATCATCATCATCGTCATCGTCATCATCATCAGCATCATCATCATCATCATCATCAGCATCATCATCATCAGCATCATCATCAGCATCATCATCATCATCATCCTCGTCGTCATCATCATCATCATCAGCAGCATCATCATCAGCATCATCAGAATCATCAGCATCATCACCATGAACAGCATCACCATCATCATCAGCATCAGCATCGTCATCATCATCATCAGCAACATCATCATCATCATCAGCAGCAGCAGCATCAACATCATCATCATCATCATCATCAGCAGCAGCAGCAGCAGCATCAGCATCAGCATCATAATCATCATCAGCATCATCAGCATCATCATCGTCGTCATCATCAGCAGCATCAGCATCATCAGCAGCATCATTATCCTCATCCTCATCCTCATCCCCATCCTCATCCTCTTCCTCCTCCAACTCCCTGCGGCATCCTCCTTGCCGTCCGTTATTCTTTCGTCACACCTCTCGGTTTCTCCAATACCCTCCGTAGACCATCTTCCCCGCTTCTGCGCGGAAAACGGATCGGAAGCCGATGGAAATAACAGACGCCCGTCTCGCCGGCCAAGTTCAAGAGGCCCAAGAGAGCATCAAGAACACCCCCAAGAGAACCTTTGAACACCCAGGTGCCGCAAGAACACCCTCAAGAACACCCCCAGCGAAAACGATGCTTCTCCTTTGAGTGTTTCAATGTTTGTCTTCGTCGCCGTGACCCTTCAGGATCGGCTGCACTGGCCGTAAGGCCTTCGCAACAACTTAAATGCGGCTCGCAGACCAAATTTTGGACACCATGGTTGGGATAGGCGGTCTCTCCTGACATATGATACCGGAGAAAAACCCCATCATAATCTTTTTTTAGGGCTGTAGGGCTGTAGGGCTACAGGGCTATATGGGCTATATGGGCTATACGGGCTATAGGGCTAATGGGCTATAGGGAAATAGAGCTACAGGGCTATAGGGCTATAAGGCTATAGGGTATAGGGGTATAGGGCTATAGAGCTATGGGGCTATACGGCTATAGGGCTATTGAGCTATAGGGCTATTGGGCTACCCCTGGGCACCCGGGCACCCCCGGGCACGCCCGGGCACCCAAGCACCAAACCCCCGGGCACCCGGGCACCCGGGCGTGCGGCGAAAATCAGCGGCAAACCTGACCTAACCATATGTCTGATTGTCGATCTGGCTATTTTGCAACTCCCGCTGGCTAGCGGACCAAATCAACTCTGCTGTTCGCGGGGGCTCAGTCGAGCCCAGTACGATAGCTAAAGCTAAAAAAGGCCGGCCTTGAGAGCCCAAATACGGCGACGGGCAGGCACAGTGCACGGAGACGGGGCAAGGGGGAAAAGGGAAAGGAAAACAGTGAGAGGCTAGGCTGGCGGGCCTCCAGAGGGCCCACAAGGCTTGCTAGGCACAGGCTCGGGTCTCACTCACTTGGGCCCCTGAGGTCTCACATAGATCTCCCCTGGAGAATCTCAGACTCCTTATTTTTAGTTTGTAGCCTCGAACGTCACGACCTCGTCTCGCTCAGCAAAACGAACACCTGCAGCAACTGACTCTCGTCTAGCTTTGTGTTCGGCACTCTTGTCGGGCTTCTCGGACTTCCTTGCAGCTCGTTAGGCTCTTTTCTTTTCCTTAATACGCACTGTTGGCGAATCCTGCTGAATAGTCAAACGGCTCGTCCGTAAATAATGTCGAAAGTATTCCAAGTCCACGCCCTCTTTCGTCAAAATATCTGATAAATTCTGCATACCATCAACCCATCGTAATTATGTATTCGGCTGTCTCAAAGCCTCCTTCAATAAAGCACCTTCAATTGCCATCCGCTTATCACGACTTAAACCAGACCCCTCCTTGGTCAAATAATCATACACAGATTTGGCATCCGTAAGAAACAATCGTGAACGCTGCACCACAATATTCTGCCAGTCCTTGAGATTTAGTTGTTATTGATCATCTCCTCAAGTAAAACGCATAACCATTATCCAGCTTCAAGCGAATCTGCTAAATGGGATGCCTCCGCAGCTAACGTGCTCCGGCACACGCGTTGAGTCGACTTCGAACTATAGTCCATCATTGCAGCTCTGACCAACTTTCCACTGAGCACTTCTTCCTCGGCAATAAACAGCATATGTCCTCCAATGCTCTTGTATCTGCTAATCTCGTCGCTCTCTGGGTTACCATTCGCGTGTCCTGAATCGCACATGATGACCACTACCGACTTGGACAAGTGGATCCCCGTCGGGAACTTCTGCATGTAGTCCGCTCCTCGCTTTCCATCATGTATCGCCTTGTTGACCTTCACTAGATCCGCCACACATGGAGCCACCATAGCTCGCTGTGCGTGTCCTGCTTGAAATGCTAGATGCGCTCGTAGTTGTCGCGCCAGCCAGGAGATCTCACCCGTAGCTTGTCGCAGTGAAGTGATCTCCGTCTCATTCAGCGGGCTGGCGAGCTCCTTCCGTCGATCTCTGGGTATCGTCACGCCTTTCATATTCAGGCTGTAACCCTTCATCATGACTCCGACCTCGCCATTCGTCATTCTCTTGATCTCGCGACCGCGGAAAACAAACTCCTCCTTCTGCCACTTCGAGAAATTCAATTTCTCCCTCGTAAACTTGAAAGCTGTCTTCTCAAACTCTGCAAGAACACCCGCTAACAAATCATCTACATGAGTGCACATAATCCCAACCAGCATGCCACTGTCATCTCTCAAGTAAAATAACGCTGGTTCCAAGACTGATTGAACCCATCCATCCTTCTCCAACACTTCACAAAAAGCCAACCAAAATAAACGTGCCGCCTCCGCGAAACCGTAGATTGCCTTCTTGGCCTTCAGAAGCTGTCTGGGATGTAAGCCAGGAAGTCCCCCTCGGGGCTGGCTGATGTAAGCCTCACGTCCAATCCCGCGTCCAGAAACATAGGCATTCTTGACATCACCGCAACTCATGATCATGTTGGTACTTGCAATCACCAGAAGAACCATCGCCTCCGCGAGCTTCGAAGCTGTAGGGGCGTCCCTTCGGTACTCTCCAAGACTCTTGTCCTTGAAACCCTGAACCACCATCCTCGGCTTCGCCCCGAATCCACCTTCGACGGTGCCCTCGCTCTTGTTTGTCCTGACCCACTTGGCCGGGATGATAAGGTCGCTCTTGGTCTCCCAGATCTTCTCGCTCTCCGCCACATCGAGGGTCTCGCAAGCATCCAAGTCCTGCCATGACTCCCACTCCTTCTGGTCGGAACCTCCAGGTCCTGTAAACATCCTGCGCTGTTCCTCGTTGAGCTCCTTCAACCTCATCGCCTTTCTGCCCTTCTTCGCGGTAGTCTGGCCGACTTGGCAGGCGTACTCGAACTCGTTCCTCTCCACTCCGAAGCCTAGGACCTCCTTGCTGATGCCGCGCTCCCCGTAGAAGGTCTGATTCGCCTCATAGGTCATGTAGGCCGCCTCCAGCATGTGGTTACTGTCGTCGTAGACATTGAACGCCGCCTCTTGATCCTTCCGACTCTCTCGAATCGAGTGAGGTACATCTTCGAGTAGCCGTTGTCGTTTAGCTTCTCGCTCTCCTGCTTCTTCTGCTGGCCTCGCCTTCACCTCCTTCGAAGGGTCGTCGAGTAAGTGCACCCAGTACAGGTACTGAATGATAATCGTGCAGATCTGGATCCCAATCTTCACCCATTGGAACTTCTCTCGATTGAATTGTCTGCTGAACGAAATCCTTTACGGCCTCTTCCTGCTCGTCCCTTTATTCGGGTCGTCGACCAGCTGGCTCCTCAGGTACAGGTGGTCCGCCCTGTCGAAGTGTTTCTGGCACTTCTTGTTGCTCTGCTGCTTCTGGCTGTGGCGCTGGAACTTCTTCCTTCCCACTCGGCTGTGGCACCTCAGGTGGTGGTGCCTCCGGAGGTGGCTGCGCTGCCGCTGGCTCTGGCTGTACAGGAACTCCGTCTTCACGAAAGTCTGGTGGCACTGGCCGCCGTCTCACGTCTATGAACCCGCTGCCCCCTGCGACTCCCGCGGTGTCGATCAGATCCGCTTCCTGCGCCGTCACAAGCCAGGCTCTGACCTCCTCATCTGAAGCCTTCGCGAGATGCTCCGGTGCACAAGCGATTGTGATACCCCGGTGCACGATCCAGATAGTGTGCTTGCCCTCGTGACCGATGACCCTTGCAACTCCTCTCCAGTTGATGACACTCTCGGGTATCTTTCCTTGCTCCCTCTGATCGTAGTAGAGCACCCAGTCACCGACATTGAAGGGTCCACGCTCTGGTCGTACTTGTCGAAGTTCTGCCCGCTTGATGGCGTCCTCATTCGCCACTCTCGCGTGCGCCTCGCGCGCTGCTTGCCGTAGTGCAACTTTCCTTGCGAACTTTGATGTTGGTGTCGCTGACGCTGCCACTGCTCCAATGCGCTCCACCTCGCCGTCGCCCATCAAGTCTGCCGGTAAACGCATGTCTCGACCAAGTACCCACTGCGCTGGTGAGAAACCCGATCTTCTGCTCAAAGAATTCTTTGCCTGGTTGATCTCAATCACCGCCTTCAAGACGTCCTCGCAACCCGCTACATGCTTGGCCCACACGACTCTCCTCCACATGGCTTGCCAAAGATCTCCATGACGCTCGACTTTGGCGATATGCCATGCTGCTGCCTTGGCGGCCGAGTCGAAACGGCAGCCGCGACTCGCGATGTACTCAGAGAAACTGCCAAGGAAACTCTTGGCCCTGTCCACGATGACTCCAACCTCAGGCTCACCAGCCCACGAAGCCCAACACAGCTCGTAGGTCTCCAGGATGGCACTCGAACTTGCCATCTTGCGGACTTCTCCCAACAACGCGACGACTTGAAATGAACAACCCAAGCATATGATGTTGAGAAACTGCTATTCCGCTTGATCTGCGTCCTTCTCGGCAAAGGTGTCGAACCCGACCACAACGTTGAACTCGTCCACTGTAGGTAACTTGCTCGGTCTTGCCAGTGCCGGCCGTCTGGTTCGTTCGCAATGCTCGCAGTGAAATAGTCTGCACGCCTTGATTGCTGCCTCCGACGCCATCGAAATACGCAAAGCCCTTAACATCTCCACCTTCGAAGCGTGACCCAAATTATTATGAAGTCGTCTGATCGCCGTCTTCAGCTCGCGTGGTAACTGATCCCAACGCTGCTGCCGGGTCGTCCCCCTATCTTTCTCCTCGCCCTCCGCCTCGCCGATCTGCGCGCCATACACCATGGTTAGAATATCCGCACCTGCGATCTTCATGACTCTCTGCTGTGGTGATAAGCTCGCCCAGTCTTCCCATCCGAGCTCCGGCCACAATCCTCGTTCACTTCTGGCGTAGGCTGTCCGAAGAGGTGCTTGCGATGCGTGAAGATGAGGCTGCACTGCTAATAGCGCACGCGGGTTGCGCCTGATCATAAGCAGCTTAACTGTCGCATTCGTCTCCTCGAGCTTCCCGATCTGCGCCGCCCGCTCGCCCACTGATGGCCACAGCAGGGTGAGCGGCGTCAGGAAATCCACGAAATTGTTGAATATCTCCATCACCTTGTCCGACTTCTCCTTCTGCATATTGATCCAGCCTCCTCTTCGAGTGACTCGTCGTCGTAGACCGCCAACTCCTCCGAGTAGCTTTGGACCTCTCCTTGCTCTCTTTGCCGGCGGTGCTTCGACTCAATCTTCACCGACTGCAGGGTAGCTCTTCTCCGCATGGCCTGTGGTCAAGCCGATAGCGCTATCGAGCTCGATCTGCTGACGCAATCCTTAGCATATCGCCGCTGCCATCCTCGGCGGGCAGGCCGCCGCCTGAGCTGCTCGCCTCCCTGCTGAGTTGCTGCCATCCACCATTTCATGAGGCTCCTTGCACTTGCAAGGTATGGCCAACTTGTTCAAAATACACTGGCTGTTGGTGAGGTAGCCGCTGAGCTTCTGGATAGGCTTTCCGCTGTCCACATCCTTCTTGCCAAACCCGCACTGGGCACCCGAAGCGAACCATGTCCCGGGTGACCAAAACACCTCCACCAGCACTCCCTTATACTTCCAGGAAGCAGCTGACCACGGCTGTTCTGCAAGAAAATATCGACCGTGCTGTAAGCGATGGATGCAGATTCTTTTCACCAGACGCAAGACTCGGACTCCTGTGGTCTCTCGGAGGTTCTCCCAGTCGATCGTCGGGCACATGTTCGTCATGACTGACCAAATCCTGCAATCAAACGCCACGATGGTCAAAACAGGGTCGTGCTCCTCCAGGATATTGAACAGCAACCTCTCTCCATCTGCCGTCAACAGATCGTATCCATCCACCATGTCTAACGGTTGAGAATTCGTCCATCCGAAATTAGCCGATCCGATTCGTGTAACTCTGAAGGTACCACCCCAAGGCTCGAAAATCATCGCTGTCCTGAAACCCTTCGCGGCTATCTTCTCGGCCAGGGTGTACTCTTTCTTTAGAATTACCCAGGTATGCTTCTCCTGCGCAATGATTATGTTCGAAACTTTAGTGAGCTCCTCCGTTCGCCTCTTCGTGAGTTCTCCGCGTAGATCTCCAGCTCTGACGCCTCTCGATGCCAGTGAGATATCCGAGCGATGACGACGAGGGTCATTCAAATCCACGGTGCCACCATTGGAATTTCACAAGACATCGAAGTCGTCGTCGTGGCAATCTGTCTCCAAGAAGGCATAGCCCTGCTTCACGATCTCTAGGTCGTTCGCGTAGTGGACTAGTGCGTCTCCTCGGGTTGACGTCAGATCCATCTTCTGTGTCTCTGCGCTCTCGTCGTCACCGAACTGCGATGCGTCGATCCCCAGATGAGGGGTCTTCCGCATCTTGACAAGCGCCACGGTGATCCCCAGCGCGGTGAGCTCGAGCTTCTTCGTCTTCATGTGAATGTGGCCGTCAAGCATCTCAAGAGCGGGTATCGACAAAAGCAGTGGCGTCTGTCCAGTGGGTATCTCCGTTGAGTGTGCCTCGCCACGGTAGCCGCCGATGCCAGTCGGAATGATCCAGACCTCGCCCTTTTGCTTGGTGCCGTTCGCGAAGGTGAAGAGCCCATGACTGCCGGTTGGCCGGCGCGCCAAGCCAGGTGGTAGAAATCGTTCGAAACGCTGTCTCCAATGCTTACTGTGCATGCAAAGGGTGCACGCAATGTCGACCAGCGCAACGGCGTCGAAGTCGACTGAGTGAAACATGTTGTCATTGGCGACTACGAAGGCTGCCTTAGACTTCCCCAGCTGGTCACTGAAGCTGTGCTCATCCTCAGCATTGAACAGGATGAGCTTGCGCTTGTCGAGCGGCTCGGCCGCAAACTCGAAGGGCGTCTCCAAAATGGGCGCCTCCGTCCTTGACCCAGGAAGCCCCCCGACTTTTGCGGGGGGCGCCGAGCTTCCTCCTTGGCCCTGCCCACGCTTAGGCACGAAACGAACGGCTCGAAGAGCCGCCCTCGTTCATCTTCGCCTGACCCACCTCGTAGTCATACGTTCCCTTGCACTTCATGATGGTGAGGTAGTTCGGGCAACCGTAGAACTTACTCCCGTTGACCTTATTGATCCTCAGCGCCATGCCGACGCGGTAGCACACGGGGCAGGTAAGTTCGTTGTCGTTGTCGATGAACTCCCAGGTCGCTGTCGTCGATGATGCTGCCGAGCTCGCTGAATGTTCCTTCATCTTCGGCTTGGTGATCGGCTTGCTATCCCACTCCAGCTTGATCTGCTCTCGCCGCTCCTGAATCTGCTTGTATACCTTCATCTCCGAATAGAGTGGGCAGCGCACGTCACCTCCATGATGCCCGTACTTGCCGCAGTCGAAGCACTTCATGTTCTCGCCCTGCTGGCCAATCGAAGTGCCTGAGCACGAAGCCCCCGCCGTCTTTGCCGTACTGCACCCTTTCTGGACCTGCGCGACGCCCGCATAGTACCCCATAAGTCGCTCGACGAGGATCTCCCGCTTACCACTCACCTGCAGGTTGAGCTCGTTCAAACGCTTCTTCAACTCGTAAACCTTCCACTCACCGAAGTCCTCGGTCGAGATAGATTCCCGCGGCGCCTTCGTCGGCTTGATCTTCGGCTTCGCCTTAGGCTTGGGCGCTGCTGCCGCCGCTCCTTGTGACTCCTTCCGGTCCTCGTCATAGTTCCGGTTGTGGTAGCCGTCATCCTCGCGCTCATCCTCTGGTTCGTCTTCGCTCGAGTCCTCATAGAACGAGTCGCGGTCGTCCTGATCTGGCTCGCCGTTGGCCGCGAAAGCGCCCGCGTCGGCGTCGCCCATCTCGTAGTCCATGTCGTCCATGTCCAGAGTGAAGAACGCGTGCTTCGGCTTCCCGGGCTTCGCCTTGCTCTTCGGCTTGCCGCCCTTGCCACCCCCGAACTTCTTGGCGCCCTGCTGTCCACTCGTCGGGCAGTCCTTGTCGCCCGCCCAGTGTCCGATGCGCCCGCAGGCTCCGCATCGGGTCCGCTTCTTTTCTTCTTTGATCGCTTCCTGACGCTCCTCAAAAGTGACCTCGCCCTTGAAGAAACCTCGTTGCTTCTGTGTGTCCATCAGCTTCTTGCGCGCCGCCTCGTAGGCCGAGTACGCCTCGTAGACCTCGTCGTCGTTCGATGCCCCAGCGTCGCTATTGTCGTCGGCCTCGTCGACTGCATTGGCCTGCTCTTCTTCGTCAAACTCCTCGTCCGAGATGTCTGACTCCTCGTGGTCCTCCACCTGATTCGCCTTTCCTCGGTGGCCCTTGTTCCACTTCTGGTTGCTCTGCTTTTGCTGGTGCTGGCGCTGCGGGTTCCTCCGTTCTTTCTCGTGTATGTCGTGGAAGTTGACCCTGAGCGCGTGCTGAAAAGCCTCCAACTTGAACTCTGAGCCGCTGTTCATCACTACGCTCCTCTTTTGCTCCTCCGAGAGCCCCGCGCCGTCCAGCAAGAAGTAGGCCATCAGGTCGCCCGAGAGTCTCGTCGTGCTGTCTCTCTCCTGCAGGTCCTCCCACAGCTTCTCCTTGTTCACCAGGTACTCGCCCATGTCGGTGCCGCGCTTCCTGTAGCTCCGCTTGAAAAAGCTATCAAACGCCACCCCCTTCTTCACAATGGCTTCCTTGTCTAGCGATGCCATCGCGTCAAAAATCAGCTGCTCGCCATTCTGGCGCTTCAGTTCCTTCGGGTTGGCTGCCAGGTGCTCGGTCCTCTTCCACGCTCGGCCGCGTAGTCCGCCCAGCAGCTTCACCCGAAACCTTTTTTGTTTCTTCTCTAGGCTGTTCTCCTCGTCTGAGCCCGATCCCTCGAGCCTTGCCAGCGCCAGGTTGACTCTTTTCTTATGCTCCTTCAGCAGGTCTGGATTTGCGCCTGTGTAGTGCGGCAGCCCATCTCTGTCCACCACGATCTCATCATCACGTTAGTATGAGCGGCCTTGTCCCTGATCATTCATCTCGAAGCTGTTCGCGTATTGGGTTGCTGATGTCCGTGTTGGTGAACGTTCGGCCACGCCCACGAGTCGAAACCACAAGCTCCGATATACCAGTCTGATTGTCGATCTGGCTATTTTGCAACTCCCGTTGGCTTGCGGACCAAATCAACTCTGCTGTTCGCGGGGGCTCAGTCGAGCCCAGTACGATAGCTGAAGCTAAAAAAGGCCGGCCTTGAGAGCCCAAATACGGCGACGGGCAGGCACAGTGCACGGAGACGGGGCAAGGGGGAAAAGGGAAAGGAAAACAGTGAGAAGCTAGGCTGGGGGGCCTCCAGAGGGCCCACAAGGCTTGCTAGGCACAGGCTCGGGTCTCACTCACTTGGGCCCCTGAGGCCTCACATAGATCTCCCGTGGAGAATCTCAAAATATGAATCCGCTAGGA